TGGAATTCCAATGGGCAGTAATGCTTGTACTATCATCGCTGTCATTGGGGCTATGAAGTTTCTGTCTGGCACAGTTCCTGTCCCTTCTCCTCACAATATTTTATCAACTGTGGCTGCATTTGCCAACTCAATGAGAGAAGGAAACATTCTTTACAACAATTTGAATCTACCAGTAAACCAGCCAAACTTAAATGTCCAGGACGCCCTAGCAACAAGATATGATAAGTTTGGACTGACAATGATAGAAGATAGTGCAGTTTTCTCTCCAGCCTGTCTCAAAGACAAACTGGTACTCATGACAATCTCATCTGGCAATAAATCTGCTATTATTATTGCACCACCAGATAAGTCAATGCTGTTATGTTTTAGCAGAAGGGAACAGAAAGTTTCATTGTTTGAAAGCCATTCTCATGGTAACCAAGGAGGATTGTTGGCCGTAGCAAGCTATGAACAAATAGACAGCTTTGTTCTCTTCCTTGAATATATGTGTTTGCATGACTGGGGAAGCAGCATATCAGGGGCCAATATTAGTGTAGTACAGTAAAAACCTGTATAAGAACCTACTTTTTTACGGTTAGCCTCAACATTTACAATTTCTTATATACATACATTTACTGCAAGGTTCTAATAAAATGGTCCTTAAAATGGCTAATCTTAGCCTAGCATGTTCTTAATTTTTAGGTTCTTATATGCCGGCTTTTACTGTAGCTGTGAATAGCTAATTTTGTCTGCTCATATGATGTTTAAAATAGTTAAATTAACTTAACTAAGTTTATATTATATTAATTATCACTTCTAATACATCACATGTAACAATGTGACAAAAAAAACTGCTAAATACAACAAGTTTTATAATGTCTTGTCCGATTTTGGCAGCTAATTCAATATGACAGGATGATAATAGCATTAGTGAGGTTCAGCATGATAGAAATACTTGTGTGATACTCTTCCTAGATTTTTCACAATAACATATTAATAAATATTCATTAGCTATGAAATTCTAGGCTTAATTTAGCAGGCAATATTCCCGAAAATATGCCACCGATTACTTTGAAATAAAAACAAATACTTAGAAATGAGTTCGATACGCGTATTGAATTTTCAACAACGCTTGTCGAGTGTTAAATTCAATAAGAATTTTACCAGATACTATGCCTAGCAAAAGTGAGGTCATACTTTCAAGAAAGCATCGGAATATTTTCTCCGATTTTGAGGCTAATAAAACCCACAAAAAACAAAGAAGGAAAGGACGATAAAACTAGTTCTAATTTCCGAACTGTGATACTCTTTCTACGATTACGGGAAATTCACCGTCAACTAAGTCTAAAATAAGGTTTCACACATAATATCGTAAAATTTTCGAGCTAGATTTCTCTGAAAGAGAACCACCGATTTACATTCTTATATGTTAATAACAAACTAGAGAACTAAAACTTACCATAAGGCAGGGTTTTGGAGCAGTAGTCTTCGTTATATATCAGATATCCACCTCGAAAAACCCAAGCAAGCCACAACGTGCTGGTGTCAGTCCCGTAAATGGATAGCAGCTTTATATATTCGTTTAGTAATTTAGAACTCAACTGTGTTCTTTCACTCGCTGATTCCAGCCACAATTACACATCAATAGCCCATTTAGCTATTTCTTGGATTGTTGAGCGTAGAAAATCCTTTTGCGGTGCACAACTGGCGCACGATTTGACACACTCGGTAATCTTTCTCCGCCATTGATCACCAAAACAAAGCAAGTGCCTAAGATGCAATGCGCATGCGCAACAGAATACTCCCTTCAATTCAAACAATCATTATGTAAAACAGTAAAATACTAGTCAAAGATTGACGTCTGCTTATCAAAAATCTTGAATAATTCTGAAGATGTCGAAATGCATCAATGTTATCTTTCTCTCTATCCCTCTCAAAAACATATTAGTAGAATAAAAATTTGAAAAAGAACAGTCAGAAGATAGCTTTGTATTTAGCTTCAATTTGAAGCTAATTTTTGCTTTTTCTTTTTTTGCTTTGAAAAGAAATCTGAATAGCTAAATGCCATAAACTCTAGAACTGCGACGGATACAAAAGTTTCATTTTATATCACTACAATTTAATTCGTTTACTCCCTCGACTTAAACAGATATCTCAAATTCTATATGGAATTAATTCAGTTGTCTTAGGTATACAAAAATCTTAAAGTAAAACAGTTCTTAAAAAATGATTTTTTGTTTTTTCTTTGGCGCTTTGGAATCCAAACCTTCATGGGGAAAAAACCATCTAGACCGTTTTTTGAAAGATATCAGGATGTAGTTGAAAAAAAGAGTGTTTGTAATTATAACAGCGTGTGAAAAGCATGTAAATAAGTAAGCTAAAATAAATATATATACTTATATAGTCCTAGATTAAACATGTCACTCGAACACTGAAATAAAATTGTACAGTGAAATATAGTTGTAGCTTTAGCAAGGGTAGAAGTGACTTAAAAAATTCCAGCTAAATTCAAGAATCAGTAAATTAAAATAATCCATGTGGTATTACAAGGGTAACAAAAGCGTTTCTGCTGTAATGAGGGGTTAACAGCGACGCGACGCTGTCAAGCGACGCCATTTAAATGTTCGCGTTTTTTTAAAGAACGCGTGACACGAACAAAAAGAATAACGTGGAAATGTGTTACTTTGTCCCTCACTATTGTGACGTCATCACGGGGAAGCCAATCAGATGCCGGAAGTCTGTAAACCCGGCCTCACATCCGGTGGCCAAATAAAAGATCTTAATGTTGCATTATCGACTCCAGTGGTAGCAATCAAAGCGAAAGTTTAGTTGATCAGCGTGTGTTGTTTATAAGACGATTCTATATTGTTTAAACTATGAGTTGAGCAGCATTCAAGGGAGATTGCGTGTTCGTTTTCGTTGGAAAACAAAGCGAACGAGCGCGCTCTCCCAAAGTTTGCGTTTTCGTCAAACTCGCGGCCCTCAAACGACGCGCTCGGTTTACCAACACGAACAATAATGGCGGTGGATGTAGTAGGAAAAAGCCTACCAGACGCTATCCTCTTGGAAATGTTTCGATATCTAAGTCGACGGGAGCTTGGTAGAGTAGCTTTAGTCAATCGACAATGGCGAAGGATAGCATACGATCCTTCGTTGTGGAGAACCGTGGACTTAACTGAACTGTTTCCCCACACTATGGGAGATGAAAAAACGCTGTTGATGCTCCTACGAACCCGATTAGCATCAGCAAGATCGTTGAACATGGCCGAATGTAGTCTTACTCCTGATTTAGCCAAGGAATTGTCTAGAAAACAAGATACTTTGAAAAGCCTGGTTAGATTTGGTGTTCGTGGCAATATCCGCGATTTTCCCAATGGACTTGAACTCATGGACCTCCGATATTCATGGGGCGATTTCAGCTTTATGAGGCGCTTACCGCGTCATTTTTCCAAGATTAAGTGCATTGGTTTAGGCTCTGTGTCTTCCGAGTTCTTAATTCCCGATATTTTTACCAAGATGCGTCATCTAAGAGTGTTAGAATTAACTGATTGCAGTGCTTTGACGGACGACACCATGGTCAAAATCTCACTAAGTTGCCCTCATCTTGAATCTATATGCTTGAACGAATGTAAGAATTTTCATGGAAAATGCCTAAGCCGTGTGTTAGATAATTGTCCTATGATTACGACACTGTTAATACGTTTTACTAAGATGACCGACAGCGCTCTCATTTCGGTAAACTGGGAAAAGACGAGAGTACAAGAGTTAGATCTCACAGGATGTTACTTCGTGACTACAACAGGGCTTTCGAACGTAATTTCTCGCTTGCCTAACTTACACTATTTAAAGATGAATCAATGTGGATTTCGACATATACTACACCTAACTGTCTACCAAGAAATTAGGCCGAACGTCAAGTATACAAATTTAGAGACCTTGGATTTGAGATGGAATTTTTTACTATCAGCTGAATGTTTGGAAGGGATTTTGAGGCAGGCCCCAAACCTTCGCTACTTGGGGGTCAGCCACTCCCCAAGGGTACCCCCCTCAGTACTAGCCTCTTTGTTGAAGTATGTTCCCAACCTCAGGGTTTTGGAGTTTGGTCCACTTCGCAAGGAGAGTTTGTCCGAGAGCAAGCTAGTTCCGACTTTGATCAATTCATGTCAAGTCATTGAGGCTGTATCGCTCATTAACTTCAAAGTTATGGACAAGGACGACACACTCCTACTGCAAGAACTACGGGAAAAGTGCAAACACATTAAAGAAGTGAAACTTTGTAATCCAAGGATTGAACATGTTGCCATTGGAAATCAGGGGGAAACAATTACAGTTGAGCGTCTCCTCATTAAAATGGATTCCCAGCTACCATCCCCTAAAAATACCCTCGGCAGAAAGATATTGATGTCTCACAAATAGATTTGTAGGTTTCTGCAAAATTTACAAGTCAGCCATACATGGTATAAGTCATGGTTAGATGTCAACATGCAATTTAAAATAGTTTATTTGCTATTTACTTATAGCGTGGTTTTACTAGTACCCCATGAAGTAGCTAGTTTAAATTGGTTTAAGTTGGTTTTAATTGCTCTGTGAAATAGTTAGTAGACTAATATAGGGTAGTGGATATTATTTCTGTTGTTTTCTATCATATGCGTTTGACTATACATTTAACACGTGATGTTTGTTTCATGGGTCGAGCAAAACCACTGCGACTGGTAGATTTTTTAGTATGCATAGGAAGAATGTTCGTATGAAGCAGTTGCATCTTTTTGCTGCACCTATGGGGTGTATGGAGAAACAGAAGCAACATCTTCATGTTGGCCAACTTGATAGTTGATATCAACAACAAATTGTACAGAAACTTGGTTGCATTACAATGGTTTCTTATATATTTCCATAGTTTTCTTCATTAATTTGGTTTAACAAGTTCATCAATGTGTAAACATTCTACAAATTGAAACAAATTATGGGGTAACATATGCATCAAATTCAAAAAAACTTTTACTTTCTTGAAGTTTCACACCCCAAATTTATACCACAATGGTATTTTTATATTTATGCTGAAACTAAAATGATTTTGGGGAGATATTTTTAAAATCTATATATCTACTATGTATGATTACCTTAGTTTTATTATACAATGTAAATCGTGTGTAAAATACTGTTCATAACAAATTTTACTTAATCATTTTTATGCTTTACGATTTTGGTGGATATTTTTACAAATGTTTTTATGACATCTAGCTTATCCAGAGCATATTCACACTCGTAACTATGATTTTTTAATGCTTATACTAGCTAGCTAAAGACATTGAAATTTGATTTTAAATTTTTGCAGCTCAAAAATTGATTGCATGTTCCAAACACAAACAGAAAAAAATGCCAATTTGGATGTGCTTCATTGATTCAATTTTTTTGTTAAGAATGAGAATAATTTATCATCAACCTACTACTATCCCTGTCTTTGCTTTGGAATCATGAATGACACTGAAACTAATTTTAAAAGCAAATAATTTCAATGCCTAAAAACCGAAGAATGATTGCTAAGATGTTTGACTAAAGTCTTTCCAAATATTGGGCTTCGGAGAATATTAATCAAAGGCTAAGGCTATTTTAAAAATCTTTTTAAATATGCATTTAAAAACTACAAAAAATTTTGGGGAAATTTAGTTCTTATTTTCATTCGTATTTCTATTGCTTTTGGTATTTTTGAATTTTAAAATTAACAGTTTACATGTGTAAAACAAAACTACGCTTGGTTTCAATTTGGTTGCAGGAAAGTTTTTAATGTTATCATAAACTTGCTTTATTTTTCTTTTTATAAGAGAATTTGGACTAGTACAGCAAGAAACCCTTGTTAAAGGTGTTCAAATTTTACGTGCTCACTATCTAAGCTAATTTTTTAAGGCTACACTTAATTTAGTCTAGTGAACTAATTTAAAAATCAATGTTTGATTGCAACTATATATCTTTAATTTTGCTACAAGCTAAAACATCAAGGATTTTTTTTGATTTTCTATACATATTTTTTTGCTGTATTGCAGAATGATATTTTTATACACTTGTTTTTAAGCTCAAAATTTGCTATTAAATTAGTTTAGCTGATTGCAATATGTGCAGAGCATTTTGTTATGCATGCATGCACGCACTCAGGGTACTTGTATTGGTATAAGCTCATTAGTAGTATTGTTTTGAAGCTAAAACTTCATAGCTTTAGTTGTAAAAATATAATTTTTTTATGTAGAACAGGATTTGCAGCCAATGTAAACAAATTTACTAAAAGCTTTTACTTCATATTTTCTCACAAAATTCATTATTTCTCTATATAGCTATGCTTAACATTTCTAAAACACAATGCCCTACAGTTAAAGGTCTCTGAGAGATCACAGAATTATTAATACAAGGGTGTGGTGTAATACTGTTCATATGAAGGCATATAGAGATATCATCTTACTACATGCAGAGTGTCAGGAGATATATATATGCTAATAAAGATTTTAAAACATAATACTTTTTTGTATTCAAAATTTGAGGCATAAATCTGGAGTCTTTAGTGAAAAACATTAGAGTTTATCTTAACAGATGAGTTCACATGAATAAATTGTAATTGATATGCAAGTAGTCTGTGATTAAGTGAATTCACTCAATTCATGCAGTTTAAAAATAAAAATATTCCACAACATTTTCCTTCCTCGGTAAAAATCAACACGTGAGTTGAGAGTTTTATGCATAGAATGTCTAATGTAGTGGTAGTGTGTGTAGTGGACTGACAGTGGTTTATATATTTATCTAAGGATTGTGGTTGCATTTCATATGGATCACGCAATATGTATTTATTATGTTATTGTGTCAATCCTACTTGAAAAATATTTTGAATCTTGCCTTCAATATGTCCTGCTAAATTCCACCAACATTAGCCACTAGTTGGTGCAATGTGTAACAATGTTTGTCATCTGTCAACCCCGATTGCTACAAGTTTTGCGCATTACTTACTCCACAAGCCAGCTGGATAGCACTGAAGATAATGTGGAATGAAGTTGCACTGCAGCTTTTAAAATATGTTTTAAATTGAGTTGCACACCCACAAAAAACAGTTACCCAGAGCATGAGACAAAATTAAAGGCTTCAAATTCATTCAATACTAAAAGAACAGGTTTTGTATTATAAGAAACAGACCTTCAGCAAGAAAGATTGAATAGTTTAAAATCACTTTGCAACGCTTAAGAACAATATTCAAGGTAATACAATGGAAATTAGTTTAACAGACGCCCGATTTGTCAAGTGAGCAGATCAGATTTCACAACATTTAGGATGTCGTGTTGTTGCAAGGGCTGAAATCAGAAACCCTGTATGTATACAAGCACATCTGCTGTGCTCGATAAATAGATTGGCTCAGAAGTAAAAACATTTTAAAGACTGACAGGTCTCATCTTGTGAAAAAGTTTGCTTGATATGTTGTTCTTGCAGTTTTGCAGTTTTCTTCCCTCCATAACAACCAAGTTGAGTTGCATACATGAGTTGAGAGTTGTATTTGACTTGCTGCAGACATGGTCAATCCAAAGCATGTAGTGTTGTGTTGTCAAAACATTTGATTGAATGAGCAATACAATAATTGTGCTCTGATTAATTGCTCAATGAAATATTTTAATAACTAGGTAATATGTACGACAGCTATGATTTTTTAACCATATACACATCAAAATCTCTGTCCTTAGCCTAAGAGATTTGTAACTGATCAAGCCATGGTGTAACAGATTTACTATAACAATCTAAGAACGTTTTGCACGACTTTCATCTAGTCTATGTATCAGAACACTTACAGCTGGTCACTTTGGCATGACTAAGTTCCATCTGGTCTCTACAGCAACAGGTTACATTACATTTTATGTACTTAAACATAATTGTTTGATTTCATTTTCATTTCCTGTAACATGATGAATGTTCGTTAGCTGTATCACCAGTTTTTGATCGCATAATTCTTTCTGTCTGACAGCACAATGTGTCAGTAATGCCACAAACGTCAGTGAGCAGGTTGGCCAAAAAATAATTTGTGGTTCTAATGCAGACAAAACAAATTCCTCAAATCAAAATCATGTCTCAAAGAAAGCACTACTAACTTTCTATAAAGTATATAAAGATACTATAAAAAATTTTCACACATTTTGACGACACTAAAGTTCTAAATGATATTGTATTTTACTGAATTAGATTTTTGAAGACTATTCTTATTAGCTAGATTCTTGAGCTTGTGAAACATTAGGAATGGATTCACGTTTCTCTTGAAAATTTTAGTCAAGCACAAAAGAACTAATGTTCTTCCCTATAGCTAGAGTTTATATATTATCATAATTTATATGACAAGCTGCTTCATATTGTATATATATATATATATATATATATATATTATTATCATTGTGTCCAATACGCATGGTATATTCTTAATATACCATGGTTTATAGAATGTAAACAGAAATCATGTTCCCTCGGTAACTGTATTATAATCATTGTGTCCCACAGACATGGCATATTCTTAATATACCACAGTCTATACATGTTAACAGAAATCATGTTCCCTTGATAACTGGATCATGATCATCCTGTCCCACGGATATGGTATATTCATAATATACCATGGTCTCTACAATGTAGCCAGAATTAATGTTTCCTTGGCAACTGGATTGTTCTCCTTTGTACTCAACAGAGAGACATAGTATATTCATAATATACCATAGTCTGTACAATGTAAAAAGAATTCATGTTTCCTTCAAATTGTATAGTAAGTTAGTCGAAATGAGCTCTTAAGACTGGAGAAAAAGAACACCAAGCAGCTCTAAGACTGAACCATCCGGATAAGTCAGCTCTAGCAGAGCACACCATGAAGACTGGCCACAGCATTAACTGGCTTGTTAGTTCTGTAGTTTATAAAGAAGAACGATGGCACCAGAGGAAATGGCTGGAGGCATGGAAGATTGCTAATGAATCACATGCTCTCTTTAATAGAGACAGTCGAAGAACATTGCCTGATAGCTATCGTAGCTTGATAGGCAATTAAGATCATATAGCGTATCTTAATAGACAAAAAAAAAAAAAAAGCGCGCGCAATTAATTCTCCCTTCGTAACACGCGCACTCCTAGCAACTGATACATTTAACTATAGCACGCGCACATTGTTATGTTGCGTGTTTCTTGTAAAACTGTCACAACCATTTGCCCTGATGAAGAGCAAGATGCTCGAAAGCTTGGCTTGATTTATAATTAAAAAGCTGATAAATCATAACTATCATGATACTTATCTTGTCCCATAGACATGATTTATTCATAATATACCATGGTCTATACAAATTAAAAAGAATTCTAGTAGCTAGTCCATACATTACTTATTGTGTTCCACAGACATGGTATATTCATAATATACTCATAATATACCATGGACTATTGCATTCTTCAATAGCATGCAAGAAACATATAGCTTGCACTTGTTTAGTATTTCAATTCCTGGAAATTTAGATACATTCTTGGAAGGAAATACCATGAAAATCTTAATGTCTACCCAAAGTTTATTTTCTTTTTCATTTGTTAATGTTCCAGGAGTATTAATTATTGAATCCAGGAGTAGGTTCCGTTACAAGTTACCCTGTAGACTAAAGAATTCAGGTCTCAACTATAACTGGTTCATACTCATCTGGCTCACTTTCAAAATCCCACTTGAATCTCTTGGTCAGGTGCTTGCGAAAACGCTGTGCCTTCTTTACTAAGTTTTCATCAACGTTGGCAGAAGTTTCTAGATTTGAAAAAAATACCTAGAAAAGAAAAAAATATATATATAAAAAATAAAACAGTGTATTATAATGGCCCATTTTCCAGATGGAGTCCTGTGCATTTTTTTTTTTGTTTTTGATCTGTGAGTTAGCTGTTTCCTGACTTTGATCAGCCCAGAGATAAATTTAAAAGTGTTTGATAAAAGTTCACAGAGAAATTGTGTATAGGATTGGTTTCTTACCTGTAAAGTTACTGTCAGAAAATTGTTTTTAGTGACAATATCAACAAAGAAATCTTTGGGTGCCTCAAGCAGTTGGAAGTGAAGGACTCCTAGATAAATGATAAAAGAAGACATTATTGTATTGTGTATCAATGCAAAAGTTCCTGTCTTGTTCCCCATCATATTTTACTGTAGCTTCATGTGGGGGG